ATAATATAGATTTTATAATAAAGCACAAAAGTGCAAATAAATAACCCATAGTTAATTATACAACTAAAGTTCCAACAAAATTAGAAGGATAGATTTGAAAATCATCCAGAGCCTACAATATCAACTAGACAACACACCCACAACACTGAAAAAACATAACAAAGCTCCAAAAATGGAGAATCACCGATGATAATACACGCTCACAACATGGAGAAAACAAAGCCAAAAGGTCTAAAGCCAAACAAAAACACCACACCTAAAACACAAAACACTAACAAACACACCTAAACAAACAAAGTAACAAACGAGTGGCCGCACATCACAACACGACAAATTAGAATTTAAAGTTTTACTCGACCAACCTCCACTAACTAGTAGTAGTGGCAAGCAGAGGATCGATCTCACGAAGGGTGTTAATCAAATTTTGAATTTTCTCGTATTAATTAAATATAAAAGCAATAAAAGAGTGAGGTTTTAGATTTAATGGTCAAACTAACTAAAATCCTAATGAAACAAATAAAATCTGAACAAATAAAATAAAATAAAATTTCTAGTTCACGGTTCCGTCTACGCCCTCGCTCGACTAGTCTAACAAATTGTGACATCAAGTTTCACTATTTTCCGAAATTACTAGCCTAGATAGCAACAACACGCTCTGTTATCCGAATTTCTTCTTACTGGTTATTTAGCCAAGAAACGTTCTCCGGTTAAACCTGACTTATTGGACAGTCTAGAACATGCTTTCTAGATTTAATGCAATAACCGCTTTATGATCTAGAAAAATAGGCTAGTCTAAGTAGTAAACACAACCGCGCGGTTTACTTTAGTAGGTCGTGTTATCCCAACAGTTACCAGCTTTCGGTTGCTACTTACGAATTAAACTCAACAACAATTATGGATTGCAAGTCCAATTCTAGCGTTAGACATGAAAAATTCTATCTAGGTGATCAATCTAAATAAAATCAAATGCATCATGGTTGATCAAACAAAATAACACAAATAATTTCATAGAAATAGCAAAACAATCAATCACTGTAATTAATTAAATATAGTCAAGTACGTAGGATTTGACATCTCCAAAACTAGAAATAAAATCTATTCTAACATAATAAATAAAAATAAAAGGAGAAATATATAATTATCCTCCTCGTGTGGGGTGCGGCCTCCCTCTGCAATTGATCGGGTTCTCAATCTCTGTCTTCGTGTTCTGTTTCTCCTTAATTTTTCTTCTTGTCCTGATGGCTGTGGCGTGGAAAATATAAATACCCCTGTAGCTGCCCATTTATTAATTGTTCCTCAGCTAAATAAATCCTCTTCCAGCTGATCAAGTAATTAACCATTCTCTCAAAATCAAATCCTTCCTAGGCTGCATGAATGATTTTATGGGCCAAGTCCAAATTCTTCTTTCCCTCCCAAGAATGATCACTAATTTCCACCAGCCCAGTCTTTTTCATTACTTAACACATGGGCCCACAAATTGAATAATATGGGCTTAATTTTTGTACATGGTAGGCCAAAATCTGGGTTGGTATGGGCTACTTCCATATTCTATCGGCTGAAACTTCGTATAATCCTATTGTCAAAGAAAGTACTCAAATAGTTTGAAAATAAATTATAAATATATCATAGCACTTGAATTCATCTAATAAATAAATAAGTCGAAAAATATATAAGTGCGATAAAATTAAACATATAACATACGCTAATAAATATATAAATACACACTTTTTCCGACCAATCAAATCTTTCCAAACTTAAACTGTTGCTTGTCCACAAGCAACTTACCACAAGAAGAGATACCTCTTCTTGAGTATCCCCACACTCAAGAGAGCTTTATAGCTGAGTTGTATGATGACCAACAACCATCACACATGGAGTTTGATGAGGATGGTTCCCAATTTCATGAGGCTAATGAAGAAACTACAGAAGCCATAGCAGAAGAGGTATCTAGGGGTGAACCTGAAGGCCAGAGAGATGATGTACCTTATGAAGATGGAGTACAACATGGTGAGAGCCAAGAACATGAAATGCCTCTTCAGTTTGAAGCACAACATGAACAATGTGAATCACATGGTGGCCAAGAACCTGAGATACCACATGAGACTGCACCACATGGAGAATGTGAATCACATGATGAGGATGAAGGACACCAAAGCGAGGAGGATGATGATTCAGATGATGAAATGTATGTACCTGACCAAAGTAGTGATGATATGTCATCTGAATTGTCTGAATGGGAGCTGGAAGATCTAGAAGGCCCTGAAGATGATGATATATTCCAGCACAGGGATCCTGATCATGCTAAGAAAGTTCACAAGATGGCTAGAGAATGGAACAGAGAAGAAAGAAGAAAAAAGCAGCAAGAGAAGAAGCTGAAAATAAGAAAAAGTGTAATGAATATGATTGGTACAGTGATGTTGAAGATGATGAGCAGTTGTCTCAAATGGATGATGAATGGAACGATGGCATGAGTATGGCAAGTTCTGAGTTGAAGGTTGGTATGAAATTCCCTACCAGAACCAAATTCAAGGATGTTCTTAAAGACTGGTCTGTCAGAAAGGGTTATGATTTGAAATTTCCAAAGAATGAAGCTAAGCTCATCACAACAAAGTGCAAAAGTGGGTGTGACTGGAATTTGAGGGCCTCAGTCATAGCTGATATGTCAACATTTCAGATCAAGACCCTGAAAGGCACACATTCATGTGCCTATATGACAGAAAACAAACAAGCAGATTACAAGTATTTGGGGAGAAGGATGATGGACACATTGAGAGACGATCCTGGTGAGCCACTTCGAAGTCTGAGAAACAAAATTAAGAGAGATTGTGGAGTTGATAAAAGCATTCACAAGGTGTACAGAGTTAGAGCTTATGGTTTGTCATTGTTGAAGGTTGACATTGGAGAGCAATTTAGGAGACTGTATGACTATTGTTCCACTGTAGTCAAATACAACCCTGGTAGTAGCCTTATCCTAAAGCTCAACCATGACTTCACACCTCCAAAGTTTGTGAGGATGTATGTTTGCTTTAGTGCAATGAGGCAGGCCTTTGTGACTGGATGCAGGCCCATTATAGGGCTTGATGGATGTTTTCTGAAGACTCTACATGGTGGTCAACTTCTATCAGCTGTTGGTAGGGATGGCAATGACAACATGCTGCCGATTGCAATGGCCTATGTGGAAGTTGAGAAGGTGGACTCTTGGACTTGGTTCATTCAGAGGCTGTTAAGAGATATAGACCCATACCTAGAGAAGAAGTGGACCTTTGTTTCAGATAGACAGAAAGGTTTGATTGATGTTGTTGGTAAAATCAAAAGGGCAGAACACAGGTATTGCTTGAAATACATGTACAATAATTTCAAGCAGAAATGGGGTGATTTGGAATTAAGAAAGTGGTTTTGGAAGGCATCCAGCACATATAGTGTGAGAGAACACATTAGGTGCATGAAAGAAATCCAAAGGCTTGTCCCTAAGAAAGATGGCAAGGTGACTCCATTTGAGTGGCTCAAGGTTATCCCTGAAGAACACTGGGCAAGGTGTTCTTTCACTCCCAATGCAATGTGTGATGTAATTGTGAATAATCTATCAGAGTCTTTCAACAGTTACATTTTGGAAGCTAGGGATATGCCTATCATAGACATGTTTGAGTGGATAAGAAGAAGAATGATGGAAAGGATGCATGTGAAGAGAACTGGTATTGAAAAATATGCAGAGGATATATGTCCAAACACAGTAAGAAAAATTGAAGAGCAAAGGATTTTGAGCAGAAATTGTTTCCCAACTTGGGGTGGAGAAGATAAGTATGAGGTGGTGCATGGGGTTCAGAGTCATGTTGTGCAATTGAATGCTAGAAGTTGCACCTGTGGCATGTTTCAGTTGGTTGGGTATCCCTGTTGCCATGCATTAGCATGCATCTCATATCACAGGTTTACTCTTTCCAACTATGTGTCTGATTTTTTCAAAAAGGAGATGTATGTCAGAGTGTATAGTCATATGACCAACCCTATTCCAGGGATGAATGACTTTGAAGATTCTGGAATGGGCCAAGTTCAACCACCTGATCCTGTGAAAAAAAGAGGTAGGCCAACAAAGAAAAGAAGGGCTGATGGTAATGACATGAAGACCATGAGAGGAAGTGCCAGCAAAAAGGGTCATCTTAAGACCTGCCAATTGTGTGGGGAGAAGAATCACAACAAGAGGAGCTGCAGGAAAAGGGCTAGGGAAAATTCTGGTGCACCTGAACAGGTAAATTTATTATTTTCCCTAATTTATGAATTCAGCTTCACAATATTCTTAAGACCTTCACATAATTTATTGCTAAATATTGTTTTTGACTTCCATGAACATTGCAGCAACATCCATCTCAGCCTACTACTGATCCTATTGAAGACTTTTTCCACAACACTGGCCCTCAAAGCTCCACTCAACAAAGCATCTAGTGCCTACCAGCTCAAGGTGTGTTGAAATGGACCTTTCATTGTTTTTTTGTCATAAGGGCATTGTTTTACAAAATCTGAACCACTTATTTTGTCTCTTAACCATATTGGTTAGTTATTTTGTGTAAGTTGAAGGTGGTATGGTGGTACATTTATGACCAGTTATTTTGTATATGCTATTGATGTTGATTGTAGGCCATTGGTGTTGGCATTTTTGTGTAAGTTGTAGGCCATTTGGTGTTGGCATTAGTGCATATGTTGGTTGGTTGTTATTTTGTAAGCATGTTGCAACAAGGCTGTTTGGTTGGTATTTATAATATGTTGGTATTTATCTTGTTATAAGTCTGTTTTGGCCTATATGTTTTGTTTATTAATGTAGATAGTATATTGGTAAATATGTTGCTGTTTATTAATGCAGATTGTACTATATTGGTATTTATGGTGCTACAAATCTATTTTGTA